CCCCCCATTGTCAGCTCCATGGGACAAGGACCTGGTCTATTCTGTTCATAATTATATCTTCAATGCCCAACACAGTACCTGGTATATATTAGGTGCTCAAAGAATATTTGTTGAATGAATAAATGATCAGATAGATGCATTTTTTAAAAGGATCACGCTGCTGAGAGTAGTTAAGGGGAGGTATGCTATTAGAGTAGCCAATGGTGAAAGAAAGGGTTGTGACCTAGATTAAATTTGGTAGCAGTGGGGATGGAGTGAAATGAATGGATTTGAAAAACATTTAGGTAGTGGATGTGACAGAACTTGGTGACATCAGATGTAGAGAGTGAGGGAGTTGAGGTTAATCTAGAATGTTGCCCAGGATTCTAGCCTGGGTAACCGATTAGAAAGGAGCCATTTCAGAGAGTTAAGGGAACAAGAGACTTGGAAGAAGGGTAGAGAGGAAACACGGGGAAGATAATTAATTCAGCCTGGATCTATAGATATGGAATTCCTGCTGGACTTCCAAGCGAATATCGTGAGGGCAGTTGGATATTGAATCTGCAGTTCAGGAAAAAGGTCTAAGCCAGATATATAAATGTGGGGATCATCAGCATATGTGTGTGAAGCCTTGCGAATGAATTAAATGCCCAAGGAGAAAGTGCAGAACGAGAAAAGATAGCTCAGGAAAGAACTAAGGGCCTTGTCAACATCTAAAGAGGTAGCAAATGAGGTTGAGAAGGAGCCAAAGAGGTTGAGACAACGCCAGCAGAGAAACCAGGAAAATGCTTCAAGGAGAGTTGACACACACCACAGAATACTATGAAAAGGTGAAGGAGGGTAACAGGAGCGTGTCCATTGGAGTTGGCCACATGGAGGTCTCCGGTGACCTTGGCTTGAGCAGTTTCAGTGGGTGTGAGAGACACGGGACCCAGTGAATCAGTTTTAAGAATGAATGGGAGGAGAGGACATGAACACCGCAAGTGTAGACTAGGCTTTGGCTTTGAAGAGCAGAGAGAGCTGGGACTATGCTAGAGGGTCTGGGAATACAAAATTGCACAAGCAGATGCAAAACAGCTTGGGAATAACCTCTGAATTGGCGGTGGGAAAGCGCTCCTAATGAGAGCTGCTGGGAGTGCTAGGCCTCCAGGCCAGGCTGGGGACACAGCCGGCCCCAGGGCACACTTCTCGGTCGCTGAGGGCGACAGAACGCGGCCTGACAGATTCCAGGCCTGGGGCACTGCAGGAAAACCCGAGGCCTCTGCCTGCCTCGGCCCACGTCCCCTTCCCAGCCCTTGACCTCCCCT